GAACTGTTTGCACTAACTAAAAGTAAAATAAATGCCACAGCGTATTATACCATACTTTTTTTCATTTAAAAAAGGAAATTGAAAACACACCACTCCTAGAAATGCTTGACATTGAATTGGCTATTGAAATGGTATCAGTAAAGTATTTATATATTCCATATTTTGTTCCATACATCAGCTTTCCTTGATGCGTTAGACTTGGAAGAGTGCCACGTGAGCTGAAATGTTGCCATATATGAAAGACCGCCTTGTTTTAAATTTAAAAATGGACTAAATCATTTAGGATACAGGAAGTAAATCAGTTTGAATACATGCACATCTCTTTTTGCCCCTGCTCCTGCAGGCTTTACTTTGTCTCTTCCCTGTTTGTCTTCAGAAGCTGGCTGTGCTTACGGTAAATATCAGTGTTCACCTAACACCTAAATATAGTGATAAAAATAATGCCTACCATAAAAACTGAATGAATGACAAGAACAGTATAGTTTCATGAACCAAGAAATCCACAGAAGAAATATCATAATTTTAAGCTGAGTTTACAACATTCTTTAATTTAAAACGAAGCAAAATACTACTGTGGTAAAATAACGGTTCTTCCCTCTATGCTATAAAAGAGATTCGTGATGTATACTTCAAAATGTTAGGGTTTTTTTTCTTTTCTTAAATAAAAAAAAATATAATCCAAAGCAAATGCAATAGATCTCTGCATACTTGAAACATATTTTCTGAATTTATTCTAAGTCTGTCACTGCACCAGAGGGTTGTGTGTATGGATTAGGACTAGACCATTATTTCACCATCTATCTCCATCCTGAATTGATTGCAATGAACACTGCAGAATGAATTGCAGATGTCCCCTTTCCCTCCGGTTTGGAGGGCCTCTGGTTTCAGCCCCATTTGATCCAAACTGGGCTACGGGGTGCAAGTCTGTCACTGTTTAGAGGGATTTGGTGGAAGAAATCTTTGCACCTGAAATAAGTTATTCTCTCTGTATACACAGCCTATGCTCTGAAATGTGTGATACTGTGGGATACTGCCCGTATGAAACTTTCTGATGTGTCCCTGCTAATTCAGGATTATTGTTTGAATGTCAGAGTCCAACAGGGAAAAAAATAAAATCAAAAGTAGCCTTGCAAGTGGGGAGTTTGGTTTGACACGAAAGCATAAAAATGTTTTTGAATTCAAGAAATCAAGCAATTTTAAGACATGGTTTCCCTTAAAGTTCTTACAGATTTCAGGCAAAGTTTAATGTATCTGCTTCTGTATTATAAAACTGGAGCAAACATACATGAAATCTTACACAGGCAGGGTTTCACATGTGAAAAATACATTTTTTTCCTCTTGAGGGATTCTTCCCCTCCCAAACCTCCATTACCTTTGATTGTAGGGATAGCAGAATATCCACAGAGAGTTTGTATGAAAAATGTCTATACAAAAAAGCCCTCATGGAGTAACATGGTTTAGGGGAAACTTGACTCGTGAATATGATTTAAATACCATTTTGCCTTTAACTTTCATATTTTCAGGCTGTTTTTCAACAATTAGAGTAAAAAGTAGTGTGTGTGTGTGCTTGGTTTTAAATTAAAAAAAAACACAAAAAACCAACAACCAAAACAAACAGATTTGTAGAAGCTGGAGTTCTAGGCTAAATAACACTTTTATCAGTGTTGGCTCTGCTTTGTGCTCCATCACCACTCCATCCCCTGAGAGATCTTCCTCTTAAAAACAGAGCTCTGCTTAAAAATAGAGTTTTCTGGGGTTATGGGTGGTGGGGACAGTGGTGGGTGCAGAGCAGCTGTGGGCGGGTGCTCCCAGCCCCATAGCTCCCTTGGAGCTTAGGGAACCAGCTGTAGAGGCAAAGAACAAGTAAATAGCAGCAGTGAGAGCAGAATGGCTCCCGCAGGAGTTTTGCTATTAAAAGAGGGTGGAAAAGGTGGGATGTAAAGGCTGCAATGGTGCAGGCTGTTCTCCTGGGCGGTGTAGTGGTGGTGTCTTCCAAGCACGTGGAAGAACTTTGCATTGTACTTCTTCAAAAGCCTCCCCCCCCGCCCCCAAGGAGAGTCTCTGCTCTGACAAGATAATCTTGTACCCTGGTTAGAAGTGTTTCAAGGTGTGCTTGAAAGGAGCCTTGTACCTCCTTACAGAAGGCAGGGCTAGGGAACTTAGGGACAACCACAGATAAATCTGTCTGCCTGTGATCATACAGTAGCAGAGTGGGGTTTAGGGCTTTGCAAGGGGGAGAGAGAGGTTAAGCAAAGGTAAGTGGCCTGTAGAGGGTTGTTTGGGTTTTTTTTTAACCCCTAATAGGTCCAAGGAAAGATAATTAGGAGAATCAAGCCTAACATAATTAGATTTATATGAGAAGTACAGGGGCCTGTGGATAATTTCAGCGATCTGCAAACCGGGTGGCAGACACTGTTCAAGGGAGTAAAAACCAGTTGGATTGCGGTGGAATGGCAATCTGAAATTGGAGGGCAAAACCAACACACTTATTTCCCACTACCGTGTTCAATTTAAGTAACAAAACATTGCCAGCTTTTTGGGAAAGCCTCGCCCCTCCAATCTGAGCACGTTTGTGAGCAAACCTGAACTTAGAAATGCGGCAAAGGAGGGGAGCCGGAGCCGTGCGGTTGGTTACAGGCTCGGCATCACTTTTAGTTATCAACAGCTGAATTGGAGGATACAGGCTGTGCCTGCTCGCTGCGAGCAGCAGACTGTTAGAGGAGTTCGATTTCTCTCACTCCTTCTTCCACCCACCTCCATCTCCTCTGTGCCTGTGTCTGCGCTCCCACATGCTTCAAATCTGTGTACCTGGACTGCCTTCCTTAACAGTTCAATGTGAGTGTTAGCAGAATGAAAACCAGATGGACCAGCAGTTCCCACTGTTATCTCCCCACCAGCTCTGGCAAGCCTCCCTTTCTCTCTCCTTTCTTGGCATGGCAGAAATATTTGCCTTTATTTAGGAGGGCTTGGGCTCATTCCCTCTGTTGCAACATGAGCTGAAAGCTATTTATTCCCTTGTTGCTGAGGTTGGTTGAGGTGAGTGCAAGATGAATTCAGCTATTAAGGAAGCAATTAACATTTCAAGATGAGTTTTCATAGTTCTTTATATTAAATGAATGGCTTGCTGAAGATACAGATTTAACTGTTTTAGTATAGTGATATGGAAAGGAAATTTGTATAGAATATGTTTAAAAACTTGCTTTTGTTTTCCAGCATATAATAATTTACTGTTGCTTGATTTGCAAAATCAAACCTCACCTCTCTGTGTAGCAGCCTTAATATTTAAGCTAATCGTTTTGGATACTGTTCCCTAAACAGCTGAGGTTTACTAACTTTAGATCAACACTACAGCTCCTACAATACTGGATCTGTATTCCCCTCATCATGTTCTGGGGGTGTTTCACTGCTCATCTTTCCCAAACTTGTCTCTAAATTCTACATGAAATGACTCCCCAAGAACTGAAGCATCATCTGTAGACACTTCTACCAAGGGTGAACTTCTATAATTGCAGTACCTGACACACTGTGTCTCTGGGACGTACTTCCTCAGTTCCAGGCAGCTAAAGATTGGTATCTATTATATGTTGTTCTTTATTTTCTTTTCTTTTTTTTTCCTTACTTTCTGATAATTAAGTGTTCTGAGGCTCTTTTAAACATACCTTTCCTTTGTTAGATGTGTGCATTGCATTTAATTTCTCACAGTGTTTCTCAGGGCAAATTTTAGATACGATTTTTGTGGTTGAAGTTTGTATGTTGTTAGTAAGAACAAGGAAAGCATGTTGCAAAATGGAGTGAATTTATAGAACATGACAGACTTTGCTATTGTCTTGAATTAAAACCATAGACTTACATGCTTATCCATTAGCAGCGACACTTCCTTGCTTTCCAAAATAGTTTAATGCAGCTCAGGAAGACTTTTATAGGACAGTGTATAAAATAAATAACTCTAACACCCCAAAGTAGGGATGGAAGAATTTAACTTACGCTCATTAAAAGCTAAACTTTATCTTACTCCTCTTTCTCAGGATGGCTGGCTAAACTCCTGGCATGAGTAAGGAAGCCTTAATCTTGCTTTCAGTGGGTAAATGTTGTCATGTTTCGCCCATTCTCGATAAATCAAACATAAGAGCTTTTTTTAAAATTTTAACATAGACGTGTCCAAAGAGATGTTGGAAAAAGAAGATACTTCTATAGCTTCTATATCAAATATCTTGCATCTTTAGTTGCAAGGGAACTGTTGGTTTTTCTGCCTGCTTTTGCCTTTTGTTTGTTTTGTTTTCTTAGGGAGATATGTTTCTACTCATCGTGCAGGTTTTGAACATTAAAGTTGTTCTTAATGTGTGAAGATGCAAACTTAGATGCTTTTTTAAAAAAATAGTATGTGTGTGTGATGATTGACTTACTGTTTTGGCATGTTGTGTTCATTTTTCTGGCGAATGTAAGAATATCCAAGGGCAGGGTGGTAAAGTGATCTAGGAAGCGCATGGTATTTAACCTAAGTATCTCTCCATGATTACAAAGAGAAGCGATGGAGAGGACAGCAGGTGTCACAAAAAAGACACATGAGCTGGTTTCAACCAATATGCTACCCAATATCTCACCTGTACTAGAGCTTCAGGTTTTAGTTCTGTCATAAGGGGATTTATTACCTTCCTGTCTCTTCGTCTGTTTTTTCCTCCTGGCTAACATGAGAGCCTTGAAGAGAGATGCCATCATTGCAGCTCCAGGAGTGCTTGGGAGGTAGCATCTGCACATGCTAGATATAAAACCAAAAGATAATGCAGCACCACTACAAATGAGGTCTTACCATCTGTGTTACACCTTCTTAAGTAAGGTTTAGATGATGTAATTTAGGAAGAGCACACTGGAGTAGATAATCAGGTGTAATCTTTTGCGGCAGATGCTGAAATGGTTCACTTCTTGTATTAGCTTTTAAGTTTTTGTCAGAGGGGGTGTGCTTGGGGAAATAAACTGGTGTGTTCCTGTGGTGTGTGTTGCAGATCGCACTGAGAAGCATTCCACAATGCCAGACTCACCTGTGGATGTGAAGACACAATCCAGGCTGACGCCTCCAACCATGCCACCTCCTCCCACTACCCAAGGAGCTCCAAGAACCAGTTCATTCACGCCCACAACGTGTAATTAGACTTATTTTCTTCCTTTTCTTCCATATTCTTTCTATTCTGTATGTAAAAAACCCCCAAAATATGTCAAGGGAAACCCACATGACATAGTGGGAGCAGCATTTGATTGTACTGCGATAAAGTAATTAAGCAAAACTAAGATCACAACAGATTAATGCATACTTAAGGTATTAAGACATTCAGCTCAGAGTTGTGTTTCATTGACTGCTTGACCGCAGTGTCACAGAATTGCGAGCACTCGTTTCCCATGTACTTAATACTTGGATCAGTCCTTCTGTGAGAAGTACCGAAAACCTCCTTCTCCTCTTTTATGCCATTCTGTTTAAAGGATCCCATTCCCTTTTGTCTAGAAACTCCATAATTTTTGTTTGTTTATGCTTTTAAAGTGGGGGCAATTCATAACGAAAATCCTTGTATTCATCCCACTTACAACTGAATGAAGAATTCTGATTTAAGTGCTAGACAATGTCTAGTTAGTATTGATGTAAAACCAAAAATAAAGGCCTTTTATTGTTTTATCTAGAGATTTCTAGTCTGTGACCACTTCTCTAAATCACTTGGGACTGCATCTCAGTTTATTGATGTAAACACACAAGAAACTCTACTAGCCTTGATGGAATTATTCTGCATTTGTATCAGTGTAACTGAGATTTGAATCTGGCATGTTGTCTGGACTATTCTTTTCACAGCCATGAAATGATCCACATTTCTCTTACCAAGATTTAGCTGCAAATTTTTTGGTCTCTTTTATACTGCCTTGTAATAGTATAAACATGAGAATGTGTTTACATTTCACATTTTAAATAAAACATTTTTAGAACAGTAGAATACATATGCCTAAACAGAATGAAGGCAGCATCTTCTATTTGTCTTGCCTATGTCTGTTTAGTCCCTTTCTGTCTGTTAAATGCCTTATTTAAAATTCACCTCTATGCAGAAGGCCAGCTGGAGGCCTTTGTACTACTTATCCCAGGGAACCCTGTCCTGACGATTTACATCGAACTTAAACAGTGAGGAGGGTTTGTGCCAGCTATTCACATAAACGCAAATTTAACCCAGTGACCCTGATACTGCAAAGATTTGTCTGTTCTGCTTAACTCCAGCACCTGAATCTTCCTAGGAGCTGCTCCGGTTTTAAGTGAAATTGTACGTAGGTTTTTGCAGGACGAGGCTCTTGCAGATCAGGCTTTCCAGTCTGATGCACTTTGCACAGTTCAGGGTAATCTTTGGCAATCATAAAAGGAATAGGACAATGTTCTTCTTTTATCACTTTTATAATCCTCAGTGTACTCACAAGATTTCTGGATGCTTGTTTATTTGATTGGGTTCAGCACTTCAGATAGTGTGTGAACCATAGCTGGATTTTTGGGACTGTTTATATGAAGACTAAAAGACTAAAAAAAAGTCTAATTTTAATTACATTTTACCCTGTCAGATTTTGGAGTTTGGCTGTAGCAGTTCCAGCTTGTACAGTAAACAGTCGCTTCTGTTGGAGTGTCTGTTACATTTATTATTACTG